TGTTTGGATTTCATCCTCTGGACCAATGGAAAGATTCTGAGCAGGGAAGTGGCCTGCTCTGGGATGCTTTTGAGAAAGAACATCTTGGTGGCAGGTTTGGAGAATGGAGCAAGGCAGGGGCTAGGGAATCATCTGGAGACAATGGCAATGGTCTGTCCATCTGGGTAAGGGACAGTGATGACTGAGGAAGGGCTGAGGTTGAGGGACAGCAGGAAGGGAGGACTTGGGAAGTGACTGGCAGAATTGGGTGACAAGCTAGGTTTGTGGGTGATGATCAGTTACCTGGAGAGACAGTAATATATAACTAGCTGGGGGACCTTGGGCTAGTTACTTAACCTCTCTGAGCCTCAGTTTCCTCATCTGTAATGGAGGTAGCAAAAAGAGCACCTGTCTCACCCGGTTGTTGTGAAAAGTAAATGAGTTAAGAGATGGAAAGCGCTGGAAGAGTACCTGGTGCAGGATAAGTGCTAGTAAGTAGCAGCTGTTGTTAAGATTGGGAGTTTGGGGATGGGACAAAGAGGTGACGTGCTGTGCCGATGTCCAGTGGATGCACACATTCTAAGTCTCCCCCAGTGCTTTTCTTTTGATATCCTTGTCTTTGCTTTGTTTTAGCTTTTGCATTATAAGATACACATAACATAAAGTTTGCCATTTTAACCGTTTTAAAGTGTACAGTTTAGTGGCATTAAGTACACAACTTTTTTTTCTTTTTAACTAGTACTAGCGTGCAGAAAAGTTGCAGGAAGGGGATGAAGAACTGTAGCCTTCACCACATCTGCCACGTTTTGCCACATGTGCTTCAGTTGCTCCCTCCTTCCCTGTACATGTGTATAAATACAGTTTCTTCCTGAACCATTGACGGCTAAGTTGAGACATTGTGTCCCTTTATTGCCAAACACTTCAGTGTGCCTTACCTAGGAACAGAGACATCCTCTGTGCAATTCTCAAATTCAGGAATTTAATATTGATACGCTGCTATCATCTAATACGCCATTTACATGCACTTGTTGCCACCTGACCGACCCCTTGGTGTCCTTCACGGCACACCCCCACCCCCGATACCAGGCTCCAATCTAGGATCATGCATAGCATTTAAGTGTCACCTCCAAGCTCCCTTCTTACCGAGGCTTTCCCTCAGTTCTCTAGGCTAAAGGAGACAGGTTAGGAAATCGGCACGCATGGAGATGAAAGACGTCACCATTCAAGCCAGTGCACGGGATGCCAGCTGCCTGCGTCCCTGTAGCGAGCGAGGGGAGCGATTTATCTTGAGTCTGTGTTTTTCTGGGACTAAGATTAAAATGCGTTTGCATTTGCCTTCCCTGCGTACACACGAGTGGAGAGGACAGCTAAGTGCGCCACAGGAGCCCACGCAGGTGCAAGCGGGAAGGGACGGGGCCAGGCGGGCTCGGAGACGCAGAGAGACTATGTTCAGTTCAGTACCGGCAGCTCCTGGAGAGGTGAGGCTGGCCGTTGGGAACTGCCCCAAGGGTCAGAGAGGGATGTGTCACAGCACCACAAGCACTGTGGCAAGTTGGTGGCGGGTGTGTATGAGACCTCCTTGTGTGGGGGGAGGGACCTAAAACGCCAGAGCTGGGCCCAAGCTGCTGTCACAAGCTGCTCAGGAGATGGACTCGCATCCTGTGGTCTTGGGAGTCTAATGGTTCTGAGGGCGATTTAAGATCAAAGGGTGGGGAGGGCGGTGTTACCTCCAGCCCATAAAGTCCACCCATCCTCCTCCCACACACATCATTAAGCGCTCAGGGTAAGCCGGAGGTGCTGCTAGGATTCCGGGAGCTTAGCTTTGACTGTTCACAATTTTTTCACCCTTCTTGGGGAGAGGATTGGAAGGTATCATCCTTCACTTGGCATTCGTTTCCTGGGTTAGGGATATTATCTCATTTGATCCTCATAATAGTCCTGCAAAGTAGGAAATGCTACCTCAATTTTATAAGTGAAGAAAATGGGTCTTGGTGGTACGTAGAAAAGGTGCAGTGAAAAGCCTGGATTTGCACCCTGGCTCCGTCAAGGGATTTGAGATGACGTAGGCAGAGCTCTTAGTATAGGGCTGGCACGCAGGAGGAGCACAGATGACATCACTGTCCCCATCCTGCCTCTCCACTGCTCATCCAAGATCATGCTCCTGGCAAAATGGAGCACGAATGGAACCCCAGACTTTTGACACTAAGTCCCCAATCTCTCTACTTTCCCATTATGTTCGAATATAAATAATCAGCAATCTTAACCTTGGCTTTTGAAGGCCTGGCCTCCGTCTCATCAAAATCAGAGTGTATGTATCTGATAGAGGTTATTAGACAACCAGTGATCTGCATGTGTGTGCATCTCAGGATGTCTTGGAAGACACACCTGTGATGGGCTGGGCTCCTGTCCCTTTCCTTGGTTCAGAATCACTGGGTTTGGGGAGTGTTAGGCACAGGTGTGCTGTTGGCCATGGGATTCAAGTAGAGGCAGAAAAAAAGTCTAGTTGATGGATCAAGGCCATTCCAGCTTCAGAATTTTTTAAGAACAGGATGAGTCGTTTGCTGCCCCTAAATGACCAGAGTAATTCTGAGATGGCCCTTGGTAACCAGGGGTCTCACAGATATCTCTGTAACATCTATCTTGCATGCCCCTTCTTGTATATTAATCCATTAAGTCCAGAGGGTTAGCACTATCAGCCCATCAGTGAATAATGACAGGGCCTACTATGTGTCCAGCTTTGGGGGTTGCCATAAGATATGGTCCCTGGGCTCCAAAGAGCTCCCAGATCTCAATGGAGGAACAAGATGCAAACAAGAGCCCCTTTTGGGGCGTGACTGTGGGTTGCTCTGGGCAGCAGCACGTCAGTGTGGGCTGGTGTAGACAGGCAATGGCTCCTTAGTAATAACAGCGGCAGCGAACATTTATTGGGCTTTTACTACATGCCAGGAGCTGTCACATGAGATAATATGCCTAAGTGCTTTTCGTGTATTGCATCATTTAGTCATCAAAACTCCTCTAAAATGGATAGATTCTTTTTTTATCACCATTTCACAGATGGGGAAACTGAGACACAGGGAGCTTAAGTCACATGCACAGTCATACAGGTAGTAGGTAGCGGAGCTGAGATTCAAACCCAGGCACCCTGGATCCAAAGCCAGTGCTCTTAGCGCCTCCCCATACCATCAACCCTAGAGGCGCGCAGCTGATCCTTGAAGGACGAGAGATTTTAGGGAGGTGAAACACTAAGGAGAGGGAGCTCCACAGACCTGGGTTTGGTAGTACTGGTGTGTGACTGTAGACAACTTACCAAAATGTTTCTCAGCCTCAGTTTGCTCATCTGGTAAATGAGGATAGCCTCTTCTTTACAGAGTGGTAGGACCGAGATACTGTGTTTACAGCACAGTGCAGGGAGTGTTATTAATACTATTGGAAACGGAGGGCGGGCAAGAGAGGCACGGCCACAACAGCCAGCAGCAGGGATGAGCACGGACTCTGTGTGCGAGTTGAAAGGGTGGCAGGGAGGGAGTCCGTCACGCTGGGTGAGGGTGGGCGGAACAGGCGAGTGGGAAATAAACATTGGCGGGGAAGCATGAGGCCAGGTCATCGAGGACCTGAAAAGCTACCATGATGTGCTCTACAGCTCTTCAGAGTGACAGGTGTGTGGACTTCGTGACATATGAAAATACGTGTTTGGATAAAAAACATAGAATGCAAAGAGTATGTACAAACTGACAGCTGTGTAAACACATTGTGGTCTGGTAAGCTTAGAGATCAGAAGGGTATCTGCAGTATTATAAATACTTGAGTTCATCACTTTTATTTATTTTTCTGTAAATACCTAGTGAAAACTAAGAATAAACAGGATGCCAGGCCAAGGGGTTTGACTTTTAACCTATGGACATCCATGAGGAGTCACCGCAGGTTCTTTTTTTTCTTTTGAGACAGAGTCTTGCTCTGTTGCCCAGGCTAGAGTGCAGTGGCATCAGCATAGCTCACAGCAACCTCAAACTCCTGGGCTCAAGCGATCCTCTTGCCTCAGCTTCCCAACTAGCTGGGACTACAGGCATGCGCCATGATGCTCAGCTAATTTTTCTATTTTTAGTAGAAGCGGGGTCTTGCTCTTGCTAGGGCTGGTCTTAAACTCCTGAGCTCAAGTGATCCTCCCACCTCAGCCTCCCAGAGTGCTAGGATTATAGGCATGAGCCACTGTGCCCAGCCTATTTTATTTTTTTAATAGAGATATAATTCACATACAGTTAGTCCTCGCTATTCATGGATTCTGTATTTGCAAATTTGCCTAATGGTTAAAATTTATTTGTAACTCCAGGATCAATACTCATGATTAATGGTCATTTCTGGACACACACAGAGCAAGGAGAATTTTGAGTTGTCTGATGTACACGTTCCCAACTGAACAAGAGGACACTTTGTTTTCTTGTGTCTCTTTCTGTTTAGCGCCACGTTTTTCATATTTCTTTTTGCTTTTTCTTGGTGATTTCACTGTTTAAAATGGCCCCCAAGCATAGTGCTGAGGTGCTCTCTAGAGTTCCTACGTGCAAGAGGCCGTGATGTGCCTCACGGAGGAAATCCACGTGCTAGGCATGAGTTATAGTGCTGTCGGCCGTGAGTTCAATGCTAACGAATCAACGAAACTTCTTAACGTGTCTTCAAACATAAACATACAAAAAACAAGGTTATGTATTGATCCGATGACAGAAATGTTGTGACCAGAGGCTCTCAGGAACCTAACCCTGTATTTCCCCTAGGAGCAATGGAACAGTATGCGCTATATGGTGTTCACTGGAACTTTATAGAAAGTAACTATCACAAATAATGAGAATTGACTGTACCGTGTAAGATTCACCTTTTTAAATGCACCCTGTTATATTCTGGTATACTCACAAGACTGCGCAACCATCACTGTCACCGCAGATTTTCAGCTATAAAATGGCCTCACAGAGCAGCAATTTGAGAATTATCTGTCTTTCCCTGTCCCCTGATCTCTCTCTGGTCCCTTTCAGAATGCCCAGGAAAACCATGGGCTGGCTGTACCTACCCCCTCTGTCCCGGAAGACTTTGGAGACAAAGAAGTGACAGGTAAGGGGACCATGGGCTTGGGGCTTTTCCACCTTTCATTCTTTCCTTCTTGGGCGTTGGATTGAAAAGCCGAGCATGTGGCCCACCTCCACAGCTGGTGACACAGCCAGGATCCCCAGGCCTCTTGGTTACTGGCTGCAGTGGGCAGGAGCAGTGAGGAGAGCCAGGGTAGGAGAGGGATGGTGAAGGGACAAGGCCAGAGATGGGACAAGAGCAGCATGAAGTGATGGAAAAACTCTGGAGTCCGAATGACCTGGCTTTGAACCCCGGCTCCCCATAGATTAGCTTTGCTCGCTCACGCAAGACACTTCACCCCTCCTGCCTCTGTATCTCCCAATGGACAATGGGAACAATAGTTCCAGTTCGGAGGAATAAATGAAGTGGTGGATGGGATGTAAGACACTTTATGTCACACCTCTGCTCAAAACCCACCGATGATTTCCCACATCGCTCAAAGAAAAGGCTCTTGCAAGGACTGCCACGTTGCCTTTCTTTCCCCTCCCGAACTACACTGGCTGCAGGGTCTCCTGCTGCTCCTGAAATACCTCAGGCACATTTCCACCTTGGGGTCTTTGCACTGCGGTCCCTTCGGCCCAGAAGGCTCTTCTGCCAGACATCTGTGTGGCTCTCCTTCCCTCTTTGCTCAAATGTCACCTTCTCGGCGAGGCCTTCCCTGACCACCCTATTCAGATTGTGCCCTCAGCCTACTCCCCTGTTGGCTTCCCCCCATAGCATTCCTCATCTAACATGGTAATAATTTGTTACATTCAGCGTCTATCTCATTGTTCCATTGAAGCAGAAGCTCCAGGCGGGCCGGCATTTGGTCTGTTTTTTGTTTTGTTTTTGACCACTGTACCCCAGCTCCTAACTCAGTGCCTGGCACTTGGGTGCTCCATGAATGTTGGTTTTCTCCTTCCCCACCCTTGGTCTCTTCCTTTTGAGGTCAGATAGTTGGGAGGAGCCCTTCAGAGCCGCAGGTCCCCAGGTTTGCTACGCTGTGTGTGGGGGGCTGAGAGGAGGGGAGCGAAGGACAGATGTCCCTAAGAAGGAAATAGACTCTGGAAGAGGGCTGGGACTGGGTCCAAGGACGGAGGATGTGGGCTGCTGGGGCCAGGGCCACTCAGCGTCTCTGTAGTGCCGGACTGTCCAGGTCGTCTTCCTCCCGCACGTCCCCATTCCACCCCACAGTCCACAGCCTGCTCCAGGAGTTCTCTGCGCGGTGGAAACGTCGGTTCTGAGTAGATCCAGGGTCTTTCGAAAGCAGAAGTCATTTGTGCAGTTTGCTCCCTGTTGCTCTTTCACCCGACCTCCTCCCATGACTTCCTGTCTCTCTCCCACGTTCCCTATCTGTCCTACACAGTCTGAAAGGTTAAGCACAGATGGCAGTAGTCAAAGTAGTTACTATTTATTAAGTGCCTACTAGGGGCCCAGCACTGTGATAAGCCCTTTACCTGTATTTGCATGCATTCTCTCATTGAACCCTCACAGCAGCTTTAGGAGGTAAGCACTGACATTATGCCCCTTTGATGGATGATGAAACTGAGGCTCAGCAAGGTTAGTGTGTGCAAGGTCATACATCTAGTAAGTGGTAGAGCTGGGATTTGAATCCTGGCCTTTCAGGCTCTGTCAAGGTCAAGGTCCCAGCAAGAAAGAGATGGTGTACTCAATGAGGATAACTGAAGAAAGTTTTGCAAAGGGACAGTGTACAAGATTGTAAGCATGGTTAGGGGACAAAGTGGACAGTGACGCCCAGAGACTGACAACAGCGGGAGCTGCTACTCCCGCTGAGCCGTGGGAGGAGGGCCACCCAACAGGAACTGTGGTCTGCGGTGGAGGAAAGGCAGCTGCTGCCGCCCTGTGACCCAGCTAGCAGGCAGCCGGAGCACCAGCACCCTGGCCTCTCTGGTCCCCC